TAACCGACTGTGCCACCCAGATGCCCTGATCTTATTTTTAATCAAATTAAAATTTTTTCTCTTATTTTTTTAATCAAAATATACCAGAGAACTCAACATGATTAATCATTAGGGAAATGTAAATTAAAACCAGTGAGATACCACTTCACACCCATGAGAATGGCTATATCCATAAAGACTGACAATAACAAATGTGGGAGAGGATGTGGAGAAGCTAGAACCTTCACTCATTGCTAATGGGAAGGTAAAATAGTACAGCTACTTTGGAAAACACTTTGACAATTTTTTTAAGTGAAATATAAATTTATCATAGGACTTAAGAATTCCACATATTGGTATATACCCAAGAGAAATGAAAACATATGTCCACACAAAGACTTGCACATGAATGGTCACTGCAGCATTATCCATAATAGCCAAAATGGGAAATAACCCTTATGTCTATCAACTGGTGAATGGACAACAAAATTTGGTATATTCATACAATGGAATACGGCTCATCAATAAGAAGGAACAAATACCAAACAGCTGCAATGTGGATGAACCTAAAAACATTACGCTAAGAGAAGGCAGACATAAAAAAACCATCTAGTATATGATTCCATTTATGTGCAATGTCCAATAAAGGCAAATCTATAGAGAAAGTAGGTTAGTGGTTTTCTGGGGCTGAGGGCAGAAAAGGAGATTAGCCATAAATGGGCATGAGAAATCTTATTGGGATAATGAAAATGCTCTACTACTAGATTGTGGTATTATAATGATGGTTGTATAACTCAATAAATATACTTGAAGTCATTAACTATGTACTTAAAGTGGGTCAATTTTATGATATGTAAGTTATATCTCAATAAAATTTTCTTCAATAAAATTGTTAAAAAATATACCAGAGCTTCTTTAGACCTTGAGAAAAATTTATAACCTTAGAATTTCAGCATAGCCATGGTTCCCTCTGATTCTAAAAGTACAAGCTGTGGGGTGCCTGGGTGGCTCAGTTGGTTGGACGACTGTCTTCGGCTCAGGTCATGGTCCCGGAGTCTTGAGATCGAGTCCCGCATCAGGCTCCCGGCTCGGCAGGGAGCCTGCTTCTCCCTCTGGCCCTCTCCCCTCTCATGCTGTTTCTCTCTCTCTCTCTCTCAAATAAATAAATGAAATCTTTAAAAATAAAATAAAATAAAATAAAATAAAAGTACAAGCTGTGTATTATAGAATGTTCCAGGAATAAAAATGTTTATCTCAACTTCTGGTTTCTGGTTCTGCTTCTAAGGAGCTTAGAAGATGCCCCTCCATTCTAACAACAGGTAAAAAGCTGAACAGAATTAAAAATCAACAACTCTTCTTGGATTCATAAGAGAAGTGAGGTCCCAGGGCAAACAGCTGCTCCCAACATTGGAAAGATGTAGAAGTAAATATAGGTAGTTAGACTACCTTCTGGGACATAAAACACATCTAAAATTTAAGAGAATAGCAATCAGAGAATATTTGCTCTCAGACCACAATGGAATTAAATTAGAAATCAATAACAGAAGGATAAGTGGAAAATCCCCAAATAAGTAAACAACACACTTCTAAATAACATGAGTCAAAGAAGAAATCTGGAGAAGCTAAAGAAATATTTTGAACTAAATGAAAATACAACTTACCAATTTGTGGAATGTAATAAAAGCAGTGCTTAGAGGGAAATATATAGCATTGATTGTATATATTAGAAAAGAAGAAAGATCTAAAATCAATCTAGTTTCTACATTAGAATACTAGAAAAAGAAGAGCAAATCAAATCCAAAGTAAGCAGAAGAAATTGTAAGAATTAGAGCAGAAATCACCTTGAAAACAGGAAGTCAACAGAGAAAATTAAGGAAATCAGAAGCTGATTCTTTGGATGAAAAGATGAAGAATTTCTAACTAAGAAAAAAAAGGCATTAATTATCTAATTTCAGAAATGAAAGAGAGGACATCACTACAGACCCCATGGACATTAAAAGAATAATAAAGAAATATTATGTATAACTTTATGCCCCCAAATTGGGTAATCAAAATGATGTCTTCCTTGAAGACACAAGCTGCCAAAACTCACACAAGAAAAAACAGTCCGAATAGGCTTATATCTATGAAAGAAATTAAATCAATAATTAATAACCTTCCCAAACAGATAGCACTAGGGCCAGATGGGTTTGCTGGTGAATTTTACCAAACATTGGAGGGAGAAATTATACCAATTCTCCACAATCTCTTTCAGAGGATAGAAGGTGAGGAAATCCTTCCTAACTCATTCTATGAAGCCAGCATTACTGTAATACCAAAGCCAGGCAAAGACTACAAAAAAAGAAAACTACAGACATCTATATCTCATGAATATAATGCAAAAATCTTCAACAAAATATTATCACATAAATCCAACAATGTATAAAAATAATTCTACACCATGACCAAGTGGGATTATCCCAGGCATGCAAGGTTGGTTCAATATTTAGAAATCAACTGATGTAATCCATCATATCAAGAAGCTAAAAAAAGAAAAAAAATCGCATGATCATATCAATAGATGCAGAAAAAGCATTTAACAAAATCCAACACCCATTCATGATAAAAAAAACTCTCAGAAACAAAAATAGAGAACTTCCTCAACTTAAAAAGAAAATCTACAAAAAACCTATAACATCATGGTTGATAATGAGAAACATAAAGCTTTCCCACTAAGATCAGATAAAGTGTTCTCCTCTCACCACTTCTTTCAACAGCATACTGAAAGTACTAGCTAATGCAGTAAGACAAGAAAAGAAAACGTTTTAGAGATTGGAAAGGAAGAAATGAAACTGTCTTTGTTTATATATGACATATTGTTTATGAAGAAAATCCAAAAGAATTGATTAAAAAAAAACAAAACACCTCTCCTGGAACTAATTAATGATTATAGTAAGTTTGCAAGATACAAGATTAATATACAAAAGTTTCCTATATACCAGAATGGACAAGTGAAATTTAAAATTAAATTCAGTGCAATCACTTAATCCCCACAAGTTATTTTGTAGATATCGACAAAGTGATTCTAAAATTTGTTTGGGGAGGCAAAAGAGCCAAAGTGGCCAATACAATATTGGGGAACAAGAACAAAATTGGAGGACTGACACTACCCAACTTCAATACTTACAAAAAGCTACAGTAATTAAGACAATGTGGTATTGGTGAAAGAATAGACATATAGATCAATGGAACAGAATAGAGAGCCCAGAAACAGACCCACATAAATATAGGCAATGTATCTTTGACAGAGGAACAAAGGCAATACAATGGAGAAAAGGGTCTTTTCAACAAATTTTGTTGGAACAACTGGACATCCACATGTCAAAAAAAAAAAAAAATCTAAACATAGACCTTACACCCTTCACAAAAATTAACTCAAGATGGATCATGGACCTAAATGTAAATGCAAAAGTGTAAAACTCCTAAAATATAACATAGGAAAAACCTAGATGACCTTGGCTATGGCAATGACTTTTTAGATAGAACACCAAAGGCATGATCCATGAAAGAAATAATAGATAAGTTGGACTTTATTAAAATTAAAAACTTCTGCTCTGCAAAAGATGATGTCGAGAGAGTGAGAAGCCACAGATCGGGAGAAAATATTTGCAAAAGACACTTTTGATAAGGAACCATTATTCTAAATATACAAAGAAGTCTTAAAACTCAACGACAAGAAACAAAAAATGACTAAAAAATGAGCCAAAGACTTCAACAAACACCTCACTAAGGAAAATATATATAGCAAATAATTGGGGCACCTGGGTGGCCCAGTTGGTTAAGCATCCAACTCATGATTTTAGCTGAGGTCTTGATCTCAGGGTCGTTAAGTTCAAGCACCACACTGGGCTCTGCGCTGGGCATGGAGCCTCCTTAAAAAAAAAAAGTATATATATATATATATATATATATATATGTAGACATTCTTTAGTAGGTGAATGGATAAATGAACTGTGGTACATCCAGACAATGCAAGATTTATTCAGCACTAAAAATAATGAGCTATCAAGCTATGGAAGGACATGGAGGAATCTGAAGTGTATTACTAAATGAAAGAAGCCAATCTGGAAAAGCTACATACTATATGATTCCAACTACCTGACATTCTGGAAAAGGCAAAACCATGGATGCAGTAAAGAGATCAGAGGTTGCCAGGGCTGGTAAAGAAGAGGGATGAATAGGCAGAGCACAAAGGATTTTTAGAGCAGTGAAAATACTCTGTATGATATAATAATGATGGACACATGTCATTATACATTTGTCCAAACGTATAGATTGTACAACACCAGGAGTAAACTGTGATGGGAACGGTGATTATGATGTGTCAGTGTAGGTTTCTCAGTTGTAACAAATGTCCCACTCTGGTGGGGGAATGTTGATAATGGGAGGCTATGCCTGTGGGGGGGCAGGAGTATATAGGAACTCTATGTATCTTTCAATGGTCCTGTGAACCTAAAACTGCTCTAGAAAAATAAAGTCTTTAAAAAAAAAAAGAGCAGCATTTGAAAGGTTAACTATTTTTAGATGGGAAAGGGGACATAGATAATTATTTTTAGCTGGATTAAAACTCAAGAAAATTAACAGAGACTGAAACGCAGCCTCTACTTTAGGCTTACTTCAGAAAAACCTCATTGAGAAAGCCAAAGGACATGTAAAACTGAATTATTTTGATAACATTTTTAAATTATAGACATGTAATTTTGATGTCCCCTTAGCTGTTATCAGTATGGTTTTCTTTTTAAAATAAAATTGAAATGTGTACCATAAAAAAAGTTACCTCCACCCTCAAACGCTCCAAAGTATTTACCATGAGTTAACTTTTAGTCACAGTTTCATTTTACCTGACTGACTCTTACTTTTCTGTTGGTCAAATTCTAAAGGGGAATAAGGCATGTGTGTACAATTTGTTTGTATAGTATAATTGGGAGTGTAAGAGATTTTATTCTAACACTGGGTTTAATCCTGGTTTTCCCTCTTTACAGGCATGCAGGACTATTTCCTCAAATAAGCAGTTCTTTTAAAAATTCACCTAATGTCAAGCACAGTGTGGTAAGTCCAATATTGCTCAGCCATCATTTACACAGAGAGCTTAAATCATTGTACCCTGTGTATTTCATAAAAAACAAACTAGAGGGGGTTGGAGTTATTGTTTAAAATTATTTATTCATCAAACACTTATTAATGAGGGCTTATTTATTGTGCACATAGCTTTCTTTTAGGTGATGGGGATACAAAGATAAACAACCAAGATTATAAATTGTTAACTGATGATGTTGTATCTTCTTCAGAGTCACCAACTTCTCTTTCCCATGTGAGACAGTAACTGTATATATTATATTGACAGTTTAAAAACAAAAACAGCTTTTCTCAGATTTTAAACTTTCAAATAATACAGAGGAATAGAAACAAAGGTAAAAATTATCTGAAATCCTTGCCCTCCCCCCAGGGATAATCATCGTGAACATTTTAGTGAATCTCCTTAGAAATGTCTCTCTATAGTTATGCATACGTAAAGATGCACACACGCACACAGACACAGACACAGAATGCATTGATGGGATCTACTGTCCTCTGATCTGCTTTAATCACTGAATATTTTCATGGACATATTCTTTCAGTGTTAGCAATAATACTTATCATTTTAATGGATATGTAAGATTCCATTGACTAGATATATCACAACTTAAAAATATCCCATATTGCCAGGCATTTAGGTTTTTCAAATTGGCAACTATTATAAACAATGCAGTGATGAATAAATTTAAATATAAATTTTTGCAATTGCACAATTATCTCCTCAGGGTACTTTCTCATAAGTAGACTTCTGGGATCAGGATTTATGCTTATTTTAAATTTTGATATATGGCCAAATTGCCTTCTAGAAAACTGGCCTCATGCACCAGCAGTCCTCAACAGTGCCTGTTTTCCCATATTTTCTCTAACACTGGCTTTAAAAAGTAATTTTGTTATTTCCCAATTGGATAGATGAAGATATTTTAATTTCCTTGATTATCAGTGAGTTTGAGCATCTTCTGTTTATTCGTTATTCATAGAGGTAGTTATGTTTTCTAAAATCCCTACTAACACCGAATTACTGGACCATTGCACCTAGGAGAAATATAGGGCCAGGTTCCTGTGGGCCTCTGGTCACAACATTTTCATCAACTATAAATTTGTGTTTATGTGTGTTTCTGTTTGAAGATACCTTATTTCGTAACTATAGTTGATTCATTAACGTTGTACTTACAGCCAGCAGCACTCTAACTCATGCCTAAATGAAGTTTACCTAACAAGTGTATTTTCCCCATAAGGCACATCAAAGTCTTCTTGTGCTTAGGAGCGTCACACAGCAAGTCAGCACTACACTGGGGGCCATTTTAAACAGTGAAATTACTAACAAAACACATAAAAATGCAGAAAATGTGGCACTAAATAGGCCCCTCAAAGGACACTTGTTTAAAGATGAGAGCTGAAATAAGAAGGTAAAGTGTCCTCTTGTCTGACCTCGACTGAGAATATGCATGTCAGGTGACTCAAATTGTTTTCTGCTCTCTGAATGTCCTTGAATGCCTCAAAAATGCTGCATATATTGATGTTGGTGTTACAAATAAATTTTATTGAGTAAGAAAACTGGAAAATCTGGAATCCATGAATAATGAGGATTGATTATATTCATTTCCTTTGCCCATATGTCTATTAGGGTGTTTAGCTTTACTACATTGATTTGTGTATGCTATTTCCATATTAGGATAGTACTCTTTTGCTTATCCTATTTTATCAATATTTCCCCCAATTTTGTCTATTTTACCGTTAGTGTCTGTTATTACAATGGCTTTTGACAGCAGTATCAAAAACTGCCTTTTGAATGAAGAAGCACAACACTGGAAAAGGAATTTAATTAAATTTCTCTTGTTGTGAAGGTAGTTGGTATTTATTTTTATCTCTCTTTTTTATAGACACACCAAATTCTGTTTGGTGATTTTTCTCCAGCACCTCCAAATTATGGAAAATCATGTAAGTCCTGTCCTAAACTATCACTTTATATCATGTTCTGCCTTCATTTTAATTATGGTCTTCATCTGTTATTTTCCTCCCTTCGAGAGTCTGAGGCCATTGAAGGCCTTTTGCATTTCTGCTTCTTTCCTCCTGTCATGCACCTGGTTACTTTGTTGTACCTCTCCTAAACAGTAAGGGTGACAGGATGCAGAAATAAAAGGAGGGAGAAATCCCAGAGAGACATTTGCCAGCAGCATCTCTGAAAAAGAGCATCTGTGTGAGAAGGTTGTGGTGGTAGCAGAAGTTGGGTGGGGCTGGGGGTTCGTATGGATCTGAGTGTTTGGAGCTACTGATTAAAAGTGATTAAGGAATATTAGTGAATTTCTTTTATTCATCTCATGGTAGATTCTACCACAAGCATTTACACATTGCCTGTCTCTTTCTACTAGGTATGGGAATTAAGAAGCCAGTATCTAAGAATCTGATGAACTATAATCAACTAAAGAAAGACTTTCTGAAGCATGTAAGAATCTTTTTGCTTGTCACCCAACAGTGGATCCCTGGGGTGGTGTCCATAAGTGTGCATAGTGTGGCAGTGAGGACAGTGGTGTGTGTATGTGCAGAGTTGGTATGAAGGTGATCCCAAATTTACAATCAAGTGACGAATAGAAAAGTAGATTGCTCTGATGAGCATTCTTTCTTAAAGCATCATGAACATTCGTGTATAGCTCTCTCCAGTTGTTGTGGAAACAAGCCTCAAAGAGGCTTACGGGAATTGGAAATTTCTCTTGTACTGCCCAATTTTTCATTAGCGATATCAGTGATTTGCTGGATTCTGCCTCTTGCAAAAAAGGCAATGAGTTCTCAGATTGTCCTTCCTTCCTGGGACCCACCCTGGGTGCCCACTGTCCGGGGCTCTCTCTCCTCAGATGCTTGTTCTGCCATCCACTATCTATCATCTCTGTTCCCCTTCACATGGCCCTCCAGAGCAGGGGCTTTGTCTTGCCTGATCAGACTTTCTCAAGATCCAGTAATTTTTTTAACAGGATGCTAAAATGGATTTTTTTTTTTTTTTTTTTTAGATTTTACTTATTTATTTGACAGAGAGAGACAGCGAGAGCAGGAACACAAGCAGGGGGAGTGGGAGAGGGAGAAGCAGGCTTCCCATGGAGCAGGGAGCCCAATGTGGGGCTCGATCCCAGGACCCTGGGATCATGACCTGAGCTGAAGGCAGACACCTAATGACTGAGCCACCCAGGTGCCCCTAAAATGGAATTCTTTTTATGTCTTAAGAGTTCTGGCAGAGATTCCTAAACAATGAGTTGAAAAAAGGAATAAAAACTAGTTTCTGCAAGCACTCCACTGACTTCACCTCATTTAATATAAAAGTTACAATTATTCTTGCTTTCCTCTTACTTTTGTTTATTAAGATTTATCTTTAAACTGACTCAAAAAAAAAAAAATCCCAGCCTCACCTTAAGTAATTATATTTGTGACACCATGGATTTGGTATTCTAGTTATGTGTATTAGGAAAAAAAAAACCCACAAAAACCTGACCATTAAAAGAAGTGTTACTCAAGTACCACTTAACATCATCACAAGAACCACTGGTTATATACACATAGCACTTTGGAAAATGCTAGTCTATGGGCACCAACTAGCTAATCTGACAAAGTTAGCTAATGGGGCAGGTTTGGACAGCCCACCTGGGCTCCCAGGTAACTAGTCCACTGAATGATGGCCTTCCAGAAACTGTTTCTTGATTTTTCTGCTTTAGGAATTGATAACTTTCCTCGGGAGTATGGCCAGCACGAGGAGGCAGGGCCGTGGTAGGCTGTGGAGGGGGAGTTCTTTGGGGGCGTTTGGAGGTGGGCAGTCTACTAAAAGAAACATTGTGCGAGGGTCCAGGGGCATCCCTTCACCGTAGGGTTGCGGCATCCTTCTAGGAAGGGTAGATGATTTCCTGAAAGTATATATTACTGCTAGCTGGGCCTCCTGGGGGTTGCTTGGGAGAATCATTAACTATTGCTAAATAAATAAATCCCTCTTGCTGCACGGAGCTGTACTGGCGCCAAGCAATTCCACTGCCAGTGGCTGCAGCTGTTGCGGGGAACAGTTGCCTTTCTCTTTGAGGTACTTCCCGGCCCCCACCCCTAAAGTGAGTTTCCTATCCTCACAGTAGCCTCTTTTCAGTCAACAATTCCTGACAAATTAGTGGCGTTACATCCTACTCTTGTTTTTATGGTACAACAGGCTGAAAGTATTCCCCCCAGCCCACCTCCCCCACCTCCGCCCGAGTTCACACCGTGAATATGGTGCACTTGTTTGGGAAACCTTGGGCCTGAAGTTCTGACCACAAAAATAAATCATGACCTTTAATTTATTAGACAAGGCAAAATCTTAATTATTTTTAGAGGTGCTGTATTTTGGGGGAGGAGAACAAGCATCGAGATGTAAAATGCACAAATTCCCCGCGTCATCGGCAACAAGTAGGGATTGAAGGTAATTTTCAGCAACCGGTAAGGATTGGATGGTTGAAATGTTCACCCACCATTAACAATGTTCTCACTTTTTAAAAAGTATTTGCCCGGTGGCTAATGCCTTGGTAACCATCTTCTTACTGTCGGTATTTCTGGGTCCTATCTTCAAGAAACTCACGTTGTAAAACTGGAAAGCAGAGCAATCACACCCAGGAATTCCAGCCTTAAGGAACAGTAGGGAAGACAGGGAAAGAATCTTAACCACTAAGGGATGATTAAGCAAGGCCAGAAGCAGTGGTAGTTCGGTTGTGATTCCAGAGTCCCTGCATTTTTTTCTCTCTCTCCTGCTTATTGACTGGCCTTCCTGACAGAGGCACGATATATGTTAACAGGAAGGTTAACGGAGATGGAAGAAGATGCAGGGATAATCCCAACTCCTCCTCAAGAATGAGGTCTTTGCAATGCATTCCCAGTGCCGTGCAAAAAGTAACCTCTGCGGACGGACGAGGGCTAACAACGCCGCCATCTTCCTCCAGCTTCAGGAACAGGGTAATTCCTCAAGCAAGGCGGGCTCGTCTGAAGACTCACAAGGGGATCAGTACTCCGATTACAGTCTGGGAGCACCGGTATCGTCACCTAGCTGAGTCGCAAAACCAAGTCCCAAAGGTGGAGGCCTGCAGTTTGCTTAATTAACCACTCCGAGGTAGGAGAGGGCCCGCTACTATCTAGACCCTCACAGGCTGGCTTTCTGGGACACTTTCCCGGGCTTCCAACACCCCCAGCCCTCAATTTTCTCTCTCTCTTAAATTGGAGGCGGGAGCAAAAGTTATCGTTATAATCAGTACCGATTTTTTAAAAGGAAATACTTGGGAGTCACACTTCTCCACAAGAGCCACAGAAATGGTGCTGTGGCCCCGACAGCTGTGGGCTGCAGCGTGGAGGAGCCAGTCCCTTCCATCTGGGAGACCCGGGATGGGTAGGGCCGCAGGGGCGTGAGAAAGGCTTTTTTGTATTCAGAGCACTAGCCCAGGGGAGCCGCAGGCTTCTTCGGCCGGCCTTCCCTCCGCGCGGGGTGCCGCGGCATAGCAGCTGCGCCCGCGCCGTCGGGCCGGCGGGGGCGACGCGAGGCGCGTCGGACTGGGAGCTGGGGGCGGGGAGATCGCGGCCTTTCACGCCCCGGCTCTCCCCGGAGGGGCCTCGCGGCCCCGAAGCCCCGCCCACGGCCCGCCCCTCTGTCCGCCGCGAGCTTCCTCTCCCACTCCCTCTGCCCCCGCCTCCCTCCGCGCTGCGCCCCGCCTCCGCAGCCCTCCCCCCGCGTCCCGTCCGCCGCGCGCCCTCCGGTGCGGAGCGCGCTGGAGGCGGGGCCCGGGGCCGGCGGCCGTGGAGGCGGTGCGGAGACCCGGCGCGCGGGAAGGAACCCGCCGTGGTCTCGGGCGGCAAAGGGCCCCAGCGGCTGGTGTCCTCTGAGGGCAGGCGGAACTGTGTGGTAACGAAAGTAGCTGCCTCCTACCCCTTCCTCCCCGCCTCCCGCCCCGCCCTCTGGCCCCAGCTCCATTTACTTCCATTTACCCAGACCGTCTTTTCATGATTCCTGCTGAATAGGAAAGGTAATTCATTAAAAGTCGTACCACCACCGCGGCCCTGCGCCCCGCCCCCCCGGCGCCCCGCTCCGAAACTCCTTGTGGTTATTTTTGTTCTTTAGCCCAGGTTAAGCTAAATACATTCCCGGGAAGCCATCTGGTCTGGTTCCCGGGATCCCTTCGTATGGTTTCCATTAAGCTCGCCAAACCGTGCATTGAAAATGCAGCCTTGGAGCCTCTCAGGAACCTCCAGGATTTTTGCCTTTTCCAGCCTCGTTTAGAGAAATCTCAGGCAGAGGGAGGTAAAAGCCTCTGTTTAAGTTCTGAGTCCAGTACCCTATGGTCCTGGTCTTATGCTGTAATTAATATGCTTTACTACTCAGAGGAAATACAGTTCTGCATGTTAACTGGTATCATTCATTCATTGATTCATTCATTCATTATTTGTTTGCTATATGCGAAGCATTGCTTATTAGAATTCTGTTTTAATTCTAAAACTCTTATGTTAACAGCTTTACAGATGAGTTTACACAATAACCTGGCCACAGAAATTGAGTTCGACCAGCAACATTTGTGTGGTTGGGTTTACACCTTTTCCTTTGTTGTCTCCCATTCCACCACCCGCCACAGACAAAAAAACAAATATTAGCTTGTGGGAAAATATTCCCTTACACATGAATTGGGGTTTGTGGTCCAAGAGAAAAGGAACCAGCCAGGTTCATAAAATCATAGTGTCATAATTGCAAAGTTCCTTAGAATTCACCAAAAATAAGCCTGTTGGTTTATTGAGAAGACTCAGAAAGTGTAGGGGCTCAGAGGTCACTGGGCTTTCAGTACTGTGGCCTAATTCGGGGAGGAGCCCGAGACATCAAGTGCCTTATCATATACTGCAAAAAGGACTTTGATCAAGCTCAATTCAGTTGTAGGACATCCTGTTTCCCCTGCTCTTCCCTCTGCAGTTTTCCCTGTGTGCTCTGCTCTGGCTCTCGCCTGTGGGGAGTTACAGCCCTTTCTTGCCTCCCCTAACCTAGGCTTCACTCCCTTCTTGCTCTTTTTCTTCCCTTCCTATCTCCCCACCCCACCCGAGCCCTGACTATGAGATTTTATTTGGGTTTTTTAAAATGAAACCAGGTGCTGCCTAAAACAAAAGCAAAGTAATAACAAGGAAAGACTATCCAACGCCTAAGGAATGTGCTGAGTTTTATGACTCAGGCTGTCCTGGCAAAGAACTCCGACTTACATGGAGAGGTGGGTGGCACAGAGCTCGGACCATACATGGCAGCCCTGGCCTCCCCAGATAGGCACGGTCAAGGCAGCCTGTGACTCATTTTCATAAAACCAGAGACTCCTGTTCCTTGTGGGACAAGACTTCCTGGAGGCTAGAGCCAAAGGACCTTCAGGCTTTTCCCTATGGGGCCCGTTCAGCCTGACCTAGCAGGGGCCACCTTGAGGTTTGCAGGGGAAGGGAGCCCGGGCAGAAGGCCTTCCCCCGGGAAAGAAAACAGGCTTGCTGGACTTGGGCAAGGGTTTTGGTGCACTGAAGTGCTGAGTAACGTGTGTGCTGCAAAGTGACATAAAAGTTAGCTTGTATAGTACTGGAGGCAGTGGCTTGGGAGCTCCAGGTGACACAGGATTGTCACACTGCCTTGGAGGAGGGGAATGTGGCCGAGCTGCTGGGAGCCCAAGGGGTGTTTGCTCTCTTTGCAGTAACGTGAGATGAAGAGCGCAGGAAAAGCTGGTCGGATTCGGGCACCGTTTGTGGGTGACATTGCTAATGCAATCAGGAGTAAGAGCAGGAGTGGGGGGGGGGGGCTCTACATAAACATCCGAGAGACACCCAGGCACGCTTCGGCACATTCTGGGAATTCTTTGCACATGAGCATAGTAATGGGGTGAGGTGCACATTTTTTCGGTTACTAAGAGACAGGCTGAGAGCTCTCAGGAGAATGTCTCTCCTGGCAGAGGTGGTGGGAGGGGTCTGAACTTGGGTGACAAGGATGTGTTTGTGCTTCCTTCATTACACAGGCCTGGCTGGAATGGGACCGATCGTGCTGCTTCTGGTTTCCGCCACCTCAGAGAAGGCTGTCACTTTTGGAATGAGAATGAATCTTGCCTGGCATAAATGAGTTCTCCGTGCGGCAGCCTCTTAGAGTGGGACCTTATTTTTCCCTTTCTTCTTTCCTTTTTCTCTTTTCCCTTTCCATGGAATACCCGTTGAAAAGCTACAGTGACCATTCCATAATTGCAGGAGAAGCCCTGCTCCACTTTTTCATTAAAGTCTACTTACTGGGAAAAAGAAAGTCTTTTAAGGACCATGACTTCATAAATATTTATTTATAGTGTGAGCAGAACTCTGGTTCTGCAGGAGAATGGGCTCATTCAGTTTTATTTATGATGTGACACTCGGGTGAGTGACATCCGTCATCTGGGTCGGTCCTCCGCTCTGTTCCACTGAAGCATGTTTATGGAGTGATTATGCCTGCAGATATTTGCTATATTTAGCCCCTCTCCTCCCCTAACCCCCTCTTAGCCCTTTCAACTCCCCACACCAGCCAAAAGCCAAGCTTGTGGTCCAGGGAAGATTTGAACCCTAGTGACAAGGCGCAGGGGCTTGAACAAATGCAGCGGGAGCCGGGAGGCAATTAGAGCAGGAGCGACGGCCGTTATTAGAGCATTCGTACAACTAAGGTGCTTGTGCTGGGCCTGCGTCTAGCACGCGAGGGCCCTTAGCTGGGCAGAAAGCGCTTGACAGGTGATGGGCGCAAGCCCGAGTGACGGATGCAGATGGATCCTTCGGAAACTTTCCTTCCCAGGGAGCTTTCTCTGGACAGGCTCTCACAACCCTCAGATCTGTCACTGTGCACCTGGGGCTCTGGGGGCAGGGGATGTAGGAGCTCTGTGACCTCCGCTGGGTCAAGGTTTCTGGTGTAACCCGAGGCTGTCCCCGCTCAGCCACACCTGGCCCCTGGCTGGGGGCTGGCAGTTGCCCTTCATCAGCTGGGGAGGAGGGAGGGCCACCTTTGGCTTCTAGCTTTACAGCTGCACATGCCCCGGAGTAGGCATTCCAGGCTGGCCCCGGGCCCGCTCCCGGGCTCCGTGCTCCCTGTGATCAGCTTGGCCACCTATTGTTTATCCTGGGAAGGGCCAGGTCTTGGCACAGAGGCCTGAAGTGTTGCCAGCATTTTATTTTTAGAGACAGGAAAATGTTTGCTTTTTGGCAGCTGCTTTTTTTTTTTCTTTTTTCTTTTTTTTTTTCTTTTTGGCATACTCCAGGATGGTGTAAAAAAGTTCAAGTGAGAGATTCCAAGCCTTAAACTCATAGCATATGACATAGGCAACAGTCCCACGAACCTCTCAACAGGAGTCTTTGTGGAGCTAAACCTTTCATTAGCAGGCCTCTCGCGCAGAGTGAGTTCCGCTGGCTCCCCTGGGGCAGCAAGAGGCCTCTCGTCCACAGACCCCACGGACTGGACATCTAACGAGCCCCTTTGCGGTGCGCTCAGCTGGTCTGAGATTTTGTAGTTCTTACCTCCGTTCATTTCCTTCCCGACCAATTCATAATGTAGTCCAACTCGGTGGACAGAGTAAGAAGGCCAATCAGCCTGCCGAACCCAATGTTTGTCCCCCCTCCTCAGACCCACTGTCATTGTTGTCATGATGACTGGTGCAAAGCAGCCAGCTTCCATGGCACGAAGCACATCGCTACACTCAGAGAGTGCATTTCCGTGTTTTATTGGAATTACTATTTGCCCCAACACAGTCTCTTAAAACATATTTTTGCAGGTCCTGTGATTCTAGCTACTGACGATTTATCTGAAAGCCTCTTGTAAACTGTAATGACATACTAAGCAAGGGTGAAGTGGAATAGAAAGGAAAAACCAGAAACAGAATCACAAATACAGAGAAGGAACTGGTGGTTGCTGGAGGAGGAGGGGGTGGGGGGGGGATGAGTGAAATAGGGGAAGAGAATTGAGAGGTGCAAACTTCCAGATCTAAAATAAATCATGGAGATGAAAAGTACAGCCTAGGGAATGTAGT